CTTACGTGGCCTCTGAGGCCAACACGGCTGATATCTTTACCAAGGCACTTCCGCCTGGTGATCATCAGCGCTTCTGTACTATGCTAGGTCTTGTGCCTACTTGGCCTCACTTGCTAACTCCTTAACCTTGCTTGTACTGTGATCTTTCTAAACCTGCACTTGCTTGTTTAGCTTTATATATGATCTTGCATGTGAACTGGCCTTTTGGCCTTGCTCTTGTGCTCGGATTGTGTGGTGACGTTGTGATCCACCCTGAGCTTGCTTTGCTTGACTGGTCTTGTGACCTCTTGTTCTCCCCCACTTTGCCTATGGGGGTGTGTCAAACTTCTATTATATAGCTTGTCTAGGCTATAGTGGGGTAGACACTATGGGGTACAGTTTCCTAGGGTTTCCTACTTGTACCCAACCTTGTGCTAGTTCATTCATTCCTCATTTTTAACACCCCTTGCACCATTCAAGATGGTTTTCAGCTCCAAACGCACACAAACATGCGACCAACCCCCTTTGAAGCGGGCTCCTCCGGGGCGTTTAGAGCCATTTTCTTTCGAAAACGCGAAACGAACCGCACAGGGGTAGAAAAATACGAATCACCCGTGGTTTTTTCACACGGTCCCGCTTGTCATACCCCCACGCATCATTCAGGAAGGTTTTCAGCTCCAAACGCACACAAACGTGCGACCGACCCCCGTTTGAAGTGGGCCCCTCTGGGGCGTTTAGAGCCATTTTCTCTCGAAAACGCGAAACGATCCGCACAGGTGTAGAAAAATGCAAATCACCCGGGGTTTTTTCGCACCGTCCCGCTTGTTATACCCCCACGCACCATTGAGGGTGGTTTTGAGCTCCAAAGGCACACAAACATGCGACCGACCCCCTTTGAAGCGGGCCCTAAAATGGCTCTAAAATGGCTCTAAACGCACAGGAGGGGCCCGCTTCAAAGGGGGTCGATCGCACGGTTGTGTGCCTTTGGAGTTGAAAACCATCCTGAACAGTGCGTGGGGGTATGACAAGCGGGACCGTGCGAAAAAAACTCCGGTTGATTCGTATTTTTCTAATCCTGTGCAGATTGTTTCGCGTTTCTTAGAGAAAATGGCTCTAAACGCCCAGGAGGGGCCCGTTTTAAAGGGGGTCGGTCACACGTTTGTGTGCCTTTGGAGCTGAAAATGATCCTGAATGGTGTGTGGGGGTATGACAAGCGGGACGGTGCGAAAAAACCCTGGGTGATTCTCATTTTTCTACACCTGTGCGGATCGTTTCGCGTTTTCGAGAAAAAATGGCTCTATACTCCCCGGAGGGGCCCACTTCAAAGGGGGTCGGTTGCACGTTTGTGTGCCTTTGGAGCTGAAAATCATCCTAAATGGTGCATGGGGGTATGACAAGCAGGACGGTGCGAAAAAACCCCGAGTGATTCGCATTTTTCTACACCTTTGCGGACCGTTTCGCATTTCCGAGAGAAAATGGCTCTAAACGCACAAGAGGGGTCCCCTCCAAAGGGGGTCGGTCACACGTTTGTATGCATTTGGAGCTAAAAACCATCCTCAATGGTGCGTGGGGGTATGACAAGCGGGACGGTGCGAAAATACCCAGGGTGATTTCCATTTTTCTACACCTGTGCGAATTGTTTCGCGTTTTCGAGAGAAAATGGCTCTAAACGCCCTGGAGGGGCCCGCTTCAAAGGGGGTCGGTCACATGTTTGTGTGCGTTTGGAACTGAAAACCTTTTTGAATGGTGCGTGGGGGTATGACAAGCGGGACTTGTGGAAACAAAGAACGAGAATGGAATGACTATGAACGAGGTCAGTACAAATAGGAAACCCTAATTGGGTTGTACCCCCTATGGGATACCCCACTATAGCCTACACAATAGTATAAGCTATGTAGTTCTGACACACCCCCATAGGCAAAGTGGGGAGAACAAGGGGTCACAAGACCAGTCAAGCAAAACAAAGCAAAGCTCAGGGTGGATCACAAAGTCACCACACATTCCGAGCACAAGTTCAAGGCCACATGGCCAGTTCACATGCAAGATCATATATATAGAGATATACAAGGGACAAGCAAGCAAGAGCAAGAGTATATATAGGCGAAGGTACAAGCAAGGTCAAGAGGAGAGCAAGTGAGGCAAGACAGGCACAAGACCCAACTGCGTGCAACAACGCTGATGATCACAAGGCGCAAGTGCCTTGGTGAAGACATCAGCAGTGTTGGCCTCAGAGGCCACGTACGCAAGTCGCAACTGTCCACGCTGCTGTAGCTCACGAGCAAGAAAGTAGCGGAGAGCAATGTGCTTCGTTCTGTGCTCCAGTCGCTGCTCTCGACACAAGGCCAGCATGGCCTTGTTGTCTACGTACAGGACTGGAGGAGAACGAGGCTGCTCTCCAAGGTCGGTCAACAGGTAGGTGAGCCAGCGTAACTCCTGTGCAGCCATAGCCCCGGCGTAGATCTCAGCCTCACAACTGGAGCCGAGAACAGAAGACGAGCGGGTAGCCCGCCACGAAACAGAGCCGGAACCAAGGCTGAAGGTGTAACCCTGTGACGACCGCTGCGTAGCCTGGTCGTCGGCCCAAGAAGCGTCCGCGTGCCCAGTGAGGACCACTGGACTGCGCCCTCCAAGCACTAGCCCCATGCCCGACGTACTGCACAAGTAGCGCAACACCCTCTTCGCTGCAGCCATGTGCTCTGGTCGGTGTCTCCCAGGAGCAACATAGCGTGCGAGAATGCTAAGAGGGTATGCAAGGTCAGGTCGTGTGCAGGTCATCAGGTACATGAGGCAGCCAACAAGCTCTGCATACGGGCCACTCGACTCTACGGACTCATCCGAAGGCAGAGCTGAGAGCGAGTGGCGAGTAGGCAGAGGAGTGGCCTGAGGCGAGGAGTACGTGAAGCCGAAGCGCTGAAGGACCTGCTGCACCATGTGTGACTGAGTCAGGGTAATGGTGCGGCGTGCTCTGTCCCGGGTGATCTGCAAGCCAAGGTAGCTCCGCAGTTCACCCAGGTCAGTGCACGTGTGTCTCTTCTGCAGCTCGGACTTCACGTAGGCGAGTCCAGCAGTGTCAGCTGTGGCAAAGACCAAGTCGTCGACGTACACGAGGATGTAGAACGGCGGCAAAGAGGTGTCGGTGTGCAGAAACAGCGACGGGTCGGCTGTAGAAGGAGCAAACCCAAGAGCCGCAAGTGTAGTCCTCAGTGTGTCGTGCCACTCACGTGGTGCCTGGCGGAGACCGTAGACTGGCCGCCGGAGGCTCCACTGGGTACCAGGAGGAAACGACCCAGTGAAGCCAGGTGGGCGGCGCAGCCAGATCTCCTCGTGCAGGCTGCCCTGCAGAAAAGCTGTGCTAAAGTCAAGAGAGTGAAGCTCGTAGTCGCGCTGAGCGGCTATGTGCAGCAGCACCCGAAGAGTGGTCATCTTCGGGGTGGGAGAGAAGGTCTGAAAGTAGTCAACCCCCTGCCGCTGACTGAAGCCACGAGCCACGTAACGCGCCTTGAAGACAGGCGGAGAACCCGGCGGCCGCTTCACCCTGAAAATCCACATGCCACTGACGATGTTCGCCCCAGGAGGGGGAACAGCGTCAACGTAGGTGCCTGTGGACTTCCAGGAAGCCATCTCTGCATCCATAGCTGCCTGCCACTGAGAGGAGTAGGGACCCTCTATCGCCTCCGCGTAAGAGCGCGGAGTCGGGATGTCTGGTGCATCCGGGTCTCCCTCAGGGGCTAGCAGTACAGACGCGAGACGAGGTGAAGCGGCGGCCAGACACTGGAACTCCTCCTGCCTGTCCTCAAGGACGTCCGTGCCAAGGGCACACTCACCCCCGACGGACGGAGGACAGGCGGACTCAGACTCAGTGACAAGACGAGCAGCGTAGTCTAGACGACAGCGCGCAGCAAAGTCGACAAGCTCAGTGACAAGGGCAGACGCAGCAGACGACTCGAAGGAAGGGTCAGTGACAGCTGTAGCAAGGAGACGCGTGACAGTAGGACTGGCAGCACGAAGAGAGTCCGACTCCGGGTCGGCAAGAGCAGGAAGAGAGGAAGCAGGAGGAGAAGGCAAAGGGGCACGCAGAGGAGCAGTGGACGGACGCAGTGACATCCGGTGCGTGCCAGGGACCGGAGGAGGACGCTGACGCGACCCGCGACCACTAGCGCGCTCAGTACGAACAGGCGACACAGGACGAGACGCAGGCTCACGACGCTCAGTAAGACCTCCAGTCGGACCAGCGTAGGGAGAAGGAGCAGGCAAAGGGGAGGCAGGCTGTAGCTGTGGCTGTGACCGGACAGGCTGCAGACCCTCTAAGGAAGGAGAAGGAGGAGGCGGAAGACCAAGAACCTGCTGCAGGAGCGGAACAAAGTACGGTCGGGGCCGCGCGGCGACACTAGAAACAGCAGGAACAGCACCAGCAGCCCCGGCAGGAGTACCCACTCCAGCAGCACCTCCACCAGCACCACCAGAAGCTCCAGAACCTCCAGCCGCAGCACCAGGAGCACTATCAGTCGGACCGCCAACGGCAGGCTCAGCGCCAACACCCTCAGCAGTACCAGCTCCAGGAGAACTCTCAGGCACAGCAGCTCCAGCACCCACAGTACGAGCACCGGCGGGACGCGAGGCAGCAGTACCCTCTGCAGCCGAAGAACCACCAGCACCAGCAGCACACCTCCAGCGCCTGGCAAACCACTCACGCAGCTCCTGTGGGGAGGGTGGCTCCCGGCGAGACGAAGCACCCCCAGGCACAGCACCCCCAGGCTCAGCACCCCCAGGCACAGCACCCCCAGGCTCAGCACCCCCAGACACAGCACCCCCAGGTACAGCACCCCCAGGCTCGGCACCCCCAGGCTCAGCACCCCCAGGCTCAGCACCCCCAGGCTCAGCACCCCCAGGCTCAGCACCCCCAGGCTCAGCACCCCCAGACTCCGCACCCCCAGGCTCAGCACCCCCAGACTCCGCACCCCCAGGCTCAGCTCCCGCAGCAGCACCAGAGTCACCAGTGACCTCGACAGGCTCGACCGCGTCTACCTGGGACACACCTGAAGGGGCAGGACCCTGAGGGGGGAGGGGGACTACCGGGGGGGGACCTGGTACCAAGAAGAGCGGGGGTGGGGGGAGGGACGGAGTGCGGTAGGGGAAGAGGCGGTAGTAGGGTACCGACTCGTCGAACGTGACGTCCTGGGAGGACAGAACACGTCGAGAGGTGGGGTGGTAAAACTGCCACCCAGGGGTGTCGGGGGGGAACCCCAGGAAGACGCAGGGAGAAGCACGAGGGGACAGCTTGTCCGCAGACAGGTCGCGAACAAACGCCCGAGATCCCCAGACCCGGAACGCCGACGCATCGCCAACCTTCCCCGTCCACAGCAGGGCTGCGGAGGTCTCCGGTCGAGAGACCCTGGGGTGGAGGTTGATCTGGTGCGCAGCGTACCTGACCGCAAACGGCCACAGAAAATGGGGAGCAGCCGCATGCATCATGGACGTACGAGCGACGTCCATGACCATGCCAATGCGGCGCTCAGCAATCCCATTTTGCTGTGGTGAGTCCGGAAGCGTGAAGGTCTGACGGATGCCTCGTGCACGACAGTAGGCACTCAGGAGGCCAGAGGAGAACTCTCCGCCTCTGTCCGAGTGCAGACGCAAAACAGGGAAGTCAGAGCCAAAGCTCCTCCGAAGCTGGAGACGAGCTGCGCGGATCCAGACGATCAACACCGCAGTGACCTCACCCTTGCTGCGCAAGGGGAAGACCGTGGTGTAACGCGAGTAGTCGTCAACCACCAGCAGGAAGTAGCGCTCCTGACCCTGTCCACGGACGCGGGCTGGGCCCCACACGTCCATGTGAAGCGTCTGCAACGGGGCCTCTGTCGGAGGAAACTGGGAGGAGTGAGGGGCAGCACGCTGGCGCCCCTCGACACAGGGGACACAGGTAGGGCCAGGGCCCGGAGGAAGGGGAGGGAGAGACCGGGGAAGACCAGACACAAGGACTCGCGAGGCCATGCCTCTGAGCCGAAGCAAGGAGGGGTGGCCAAGGCGGTGGTGCCAGAGGAGGGTCTCGTGAGACAGACGACGACACGAGCAGGGGGCAGACTCAGGACCAGACCTGGACGCTGCAGCAAACACCTGACCAGACGAAGGGACCCTACCAGACTCAGCACCTGGAGGAGAAGCAGTGGTCAGTGTGTACAGGCTCGACCCTGGCCGACGTGTAAACGTAGCCAGGTGGCGACCTGTATCCGCCTCCGTGCAGTGGGTCACCCGCTGACGAGCAGGGGTGAACTGGTGGACACCCGCATCCTGGAGGTCAGCACCACTCACCAAGTTCGTCGAGAACGAGGGGAGGTAAAGACCAGTCAGGGTGCCAGAGGGGGCCGCCGGACACGGGAGGACAGTGGAGAAGCGAGACAGGACAGGCCCCCCAGAGGGGTCAGCCAGGGACACCGCAACCGGCCGACTCAGCGGCGTGAGAGTGGTGCGGTCCCTAAAGAAGGAGCGAGACGCTCCAGAGTCAAGGGTGAAGGTGTGAGAGGCCGAAGCCGACACAGTACCTGAGAGGGCAGACTCACCAGCACCTGAGAGCACAGACGCACTGGCACCTAGGGCAGCAGCCTCACGAGTACCTGACGCGGCAGTACCAATGCCCGGGTTGGGCGGGAAACACCGGTAACAGTCATCCTCATCACTACCAATCGCAGCATACATAGCAGAGAGAATAGCATCAAAATCAAGATCATAAATAGCTACACCAGCCCTAGACAGCTCTCCCCAGCGGGGGATCTCAGCTGCCTCCGGAAACTGCTGACGCCAGGCGTCAGTCAGGCGGCCAAAGCAGCGGCGGGCTGTGTGGGCGCCTCCACACCGCTCCCCTGCACGGTCACCGGTGCGAAGAACGTAGGGGCAAGGACCAAGCGCACCACCACGCTGACGCTGCAAGTACCACTCACGGAGCTGCTGAGGGGCGGGGACGGTGCGAGAGCGCTGCTGCTGCTGTGGCTGCTGCTGCTGCTGCTGCTGCTGCTGCTGCTGGCGCGGACCACCCCCAGAGCTGCTCCGCTGGGACGAGCCACTCCGACCCCCGCCTCCACCGCCACCCCCGCCTCCACCGCCACCCCCGTCTCCACCTCCACCTCCCCCACCAGGACTGTCGCTCCCACCGCTCCCACCGCCTCCCCCGCTACCACCTCCGCCGCCACCTCCGCCTCCACCGCCGCCACTAGTACCTCCACTCCCGCCACCACCCCCACCGCCACCCCCACTCCCCCCGCCACCCCCACCGCCTCCTCCACCGCCCCCTCGAGCTCCACCCGCTCCCTTGCCCCCCTTGCCCTTGCCAGAGCGGCGTCTGCCGCTGGGGGCAGACGCCGCGCCGACCGACTCAAAACCAGTGAGGTCGGCCGCAGCGGCAGAGGCGACAGAGGGCAGCAGGGGGGAAGGACCACACCCCTCAAAGATGGGGGTGCGAGGGTCACCCCGAGAGGCCCCTACAGCGACAATACTCTTCTCAGCCGCTAGCAGGGACTCCTCAAGGAGGTCGACAGTGAGAGTGGTGGGACAGACAGAGAGAAACTGGTCCCTAACGACACGAAGGGACTCAGGGAGACGGGTGACGAGAAAGTAGAGGGTGATGTACATGGGAGGAGGGTTCGCAGCGCGGAACTCAGCAGGAAGGGCAGCGCGGTAGCGGGTGTCACTAGCACGGAGGTGGGTAACGAGGTCAGCGACAGTGGGAAAGGAAGCAAGGTCAGGGAAGAGAAACGGTAGCATGAGGCGGCTAAGGGTAGCGGAGGAAGGGGAGGAGTAGCGTGCAACTACAGCGTCGTACAAGGCCTGAGCGGTCTTGCACTGACTAAAGTGGGCACGCTCAGAGGAAGGGAGGTGGCGACGCACAGCAAGACGTGCAGCAGCATCGCGGGTCGCCCACTTGGAGCGAACGGCAGAGTCAGCATCAGCAGGTGGGGCAGGGACAGCGCCAGAGACAAAGTCAAAAAGAGAGACCTCATCTATCGCATCACACAGTAAGTACAGCTGCAGGTCTTCAATCCAGACGGCAAAGTCAATGGCCCTCCCCTCAGCGTCAAAAGTAAGAACATTGGGGGTGGCCATGGCAGCAGCTGAAAGTCTCACCGGGCTGGGAGCGTCGGGTAGGTCAGCAGCAGAGGAACACAGCTCAGGACCAGCAGCACGGCTCCTCAGGCGGCTCGGGCGGCTCGGGCGGCTCGGGCGGCTCGGGCGGCGGCGCGGTCGCAGCTCAGCGGCTGCTCGGCGGCGGCTCGGGCGGCTCGGCGGCGGCTCAGGCGGCGGCGGCTTGGCGGCTCAGGCGGCGGCGGCTCGGCGGCGGCCCGGGCGGCGGCTCAGGCGGCGGCGGCTCGGCGGCGGCTCGGCTGCAGCTGGGCGGCTCGGCTGATGCTGGGCGGCTCGGCGGGGCCGCGGAGCAGAGGGCGGCGGTGCCGCGTAGCAGAGGGTGGCGGGGCCGCGTAGCAGGGGGCGGCGGGGCCGCGACCGAAGAGGGCGGCGGGGCCGCGTAGCAGAGGGCGGCGGGGCCGCGTAACAGAGGGCGGCGGGGCCGCGTAGCAGAGGGCGGCGGGGCCGCGATCGAAGGGCGGCGGGGCCGCGTAGCAGAGGGCGGCGGGGCCGCGTAGCAGAGGGCGGCAGGGCTGCGTAGCAGAGGGCGGCGGGGTCGCGTAGCTGAGGGTGGCGGGGCCGCGTAGCAGAGGGCGGCGGGGCCGCGTAGTAGAGGGCGGCGGGGCCGCGTGGCAGAGGGCGGCGGGGCCGCGTAGCAGAGGGCGGCGGGGCCGCGATCGAAGGGCGGCGGCGGGGCCGCGTAGCAGAGGGCGGCGGGGCCGCGATCGAAGGGCGGCGGGGCCGCTAGGGAAGGGCGGCGGAGCCGCTAGGGGAAGGGCGGCGCAACGGGCCGCTAGGGGCGACACGACGGGTCGCTAAAAAAAAACGCGCCTCGGGGCGCGGTTCGGTGGGCCCTAGAAGCAGTCCCTAGGAGGGAACCTGCTCTGATTCCATGTGGAAACAAAGAACGAGAATGGAATGACTATGAACGAGGTCAGTACAAATAGGAAACCCTAATTGGGTTGTACCCCCTATGGGATACCCCACTATAGCCTACACAATAGTATAAGCTATGTAGTTCTGACAGGACTATGCGAAAAATCCCCAGGTGATTCGCATTCTTCTACACCTTTGCGGATCGTTTCGCGTTTCCGAGAGAAAATGGCACTAAATGCCCCGGAGGTGAGAAAATGAGAACGAGAAAAATGGATGAACTATGAATGAACTGAGTACAAGTACTAACCCTAATTGGGTTGTACCCCTTATGGACTACCCCAGTATAGCCTACACAATAAGCACAAGCTATATGTTCTGACAGGAGGGGCCCGCTTCAAAGGGGGTCGGTCGCACGTTTGTGTGCATTTGGAGTTGATGACCCTTCTGAATGGTGCGTGGGGGTACGACAAGCGGGATGGTGCGAGAAAACCCCGGGTGATTCGCATTTTTCTACACCTGTGCAGATCGTTTCGCGTTATCGAGAGAAAATGGCTCTAAACGCCCAGGAGGGGCCCGCTTCGAAGGGGGTCAATCGCACGTTTGTGTGCCTTTGGAGCTGAAAACCATCCTCAATGGTGCGTGGGGGTATGACAAGCGGGACCGTGCGAAAAAACCCCGGGTGATTCGCATTTTTCTACACATGTGTGGATCGTTTCGCGTTATCGAGATAAAATGGCTCTAAACGCCCCAGAGGGGCCCGCTTCAAAGGGGGACGGTCGCACGTTGTGTGCCTTTGGAGTTGAAAACCATCTTGAATGGTGCTGGGGGTATGACAAGCAGGACGGTGCGAAAAAACCCCGGGTGATTCGCATTTTTCTACACCTGTGCGGATCGTTTCGCGTTTTCGAGGAAAAATGGCTCTAAACGTCCTGGAGGGGCCCTTTTCAAAGGGGGTCGGTCGCACGTTTGTGTGCCTTTGGAGCTGAAAACCATCCTGAATGGTGCATGAGGGTATGACAAGCGGGACGGTGCGAAAAACCCCGGGTGATTCGCATTCTTCTACACCTTTGCGGATCGTTTCGCGTTTTCGAGAGAAAATGGCTCTAAACGCCTCGGAGGGGCCCGCTTCAAAGATGGTCTGTCGCACGTTTGTGTGCCTTTGGTGCTGAAAGTCATTCTGAATGGTGCGTGGGGGTATGACAAGCAGGACGTGCGAAAAAAAACCCAGGTGATTTACATTTTTCTACACCTGTGCATATCGTTTCACATTTTCGAGAGAAAATGGCTCTAAACTTCCCAGAGGGGCCCGCTTCAAAGGGGGTCAGTCACAAGTTTGTGTGCCTTTGGAGCTGAAAACCATCCTGAATGGTGCGTGGGGGTATGACTGAGAAAAAGTGAACGAGAGAATGAGTGAACTATGAACGAAGTGAGTACAAATAGGAAACCCTAGTTGGGTTGTACCCCCTATGGGATACCCCACTATAGCCTACACAAATAAGTAAGCTATAATATTCTGACACACCCCCATAGGCAAAGTGGGGGAGAACAAGGGGTCACAAGACCAGTCAAGCAAAGCAAAGCAAAGCTCAGGGTGGATCACAAAGTCACCACACATTCCGAGCACAAGTTCAAAGGCCACAAGGCCAGTTCACATACAAGATCATATATAGAGATATACAGGAGTCAAGCAAGCAAGAACAAGAGTATATATAGGTCAAGGTACAAGTAAGGTCAAGAAGTGAGCAAGTGAGGCAAGACAGGCACAAGACCCAGCTGCGTGCAGCAACGCTGATGATCACAAGGCGCAAGTGCCTTGGTGAAGACATCAGCAGTGTTGGCCTCAGAGGCCACGTAAGCAAGTCGCAACTGTCCACGCTGCTGTAGTTCACGAGCAAGAAAGTAGCGGAGAGCAATGTGCTTCGTCCTGTGCTCCAGACGCTGCTCTCGACACAAGGCCAGCATGGCCTTGTTGTCTACGTACAGGACTGGGGGAGAACGAGGCGGCTCTCCAAGGTCGGTCAGCAGGTAGGTGAGCCAGCGAAGCTCCTGAGCAGCCATAGCCCCGGCGTAGATCTCAGCCTCACAACTGGAGCTGAGAACAGAAGACTAGCGAGTAGCTCGCCACGAAACAGAGCCGGAACCAAGGCTGAAGGTGTAACCCTGTGACGACCGCTGCGTAGCCTGGTCGTCAGCCCAAGAAGCGTCCGCGTGCCCAGTGAGGACCACTGGACTGCGCCCTCCAAGCACTAGCCCCATGCCCGATGTACTGCACAAGTAGCGCAACACCCTCTTCGCTGCAGCCATGTGCTCTGGTCGGTGTCTCCCAGGAGCAACATAGCGTGCGAGAATGCTAAGAGGGTATGCAAGGTCAGGTCGTGTGCAGGTCATCAGGTACATGAGGCAGCCAACAAGCTCTGCATACGGACCACTCGACTCTACAGACTCATCCGAAGGCAGAGCTGAGAGTGAGTGACGAGAAGGCAGAGGAGTGGTCTGAGGCGAGGAGTACGTGAAGCCGAAGCGCTGAAGGACCTGCTGCACCATGTGTGACTGAGTCAGGGTAATGGTGCGGCGTGCTCTGTCCCGGGTGATCTGCAAGCCAAGGTAGCTGCGCAGTTCACCCAGGTCAGTGCACGTGTGTCTCTTCTGCAGCTCGGACTTCACGTAGGCGAGTCCAGCACTGTCAGCTGTGGCAAAGACCAAGTCGTCGACGTACACGAGGATGTAGAACGGCGGCAGAGAGGTGTCGGTGCGCAGAAACAGCGACGGGTCGGTAGTAGAAGGAGCAAACCCAAGTGCCGCCAGCGTAGTCCTCAGTGTGTCGTGCCACTCATGTGGCGCCTGGCGGAGACCGTAGACTGGACGCCGGAGACTCCACTGGGTACCAGGAGGGAAAGACCCAGTGAAGCCAGGTGGGCGACGCAGCCAGATCTCCTCGTGCAGACTGCCCTGCAAGAAAGCAGTGCTGAAGTCGAGGGAGTGCAGCTCGTAGTCACGGCGAGCAGCAACGTGCAGCAGTACCCGAAGAGTGGTCATCTTCGGGGTGGGGGAGAAGGTCTGAAAGTAGTCAACTCCCTGCCGCTGACTGAAGCCACGAGCCACGTAACGCGCCTTGAAGGCAGGCGGAGAACCCGGCGGCCGCTTCACCCTGAAAATCCACATGCCACTGACTATGTTCGCCCCAGGAGGGGGAAGAGCGTCAACGTAGGTGCCTGTGGACTTCCAGGAAGCCATCTCTGCATCCATAGCTGCCTGCCACTGAGAGGAGTAGGGACCCTCTATCGCCTCCGCGTAGGAGCGCGGAGTCGGGATGTCTAGTGCATCCGGGTCTCCCTCAGGGGCGAGCAGTACAGACGCGAGATGAGGTGAAGCGGCGGCCAGACACTGGAACTCCTCCTGCCTGTCCTCAAGGACGTCCGTGCCAAGGGCACACTCACCCCCAACGGACGAAGGACAGGCAGACTCAGACTCAGCGACAAGACTAGCAGCGTAGTCTAGACGACAGCGCGCAGCAAAGTCGACGAGCTCAGTGACAAGGGCAGACGCAGCAGACGACTCGAAAGAAGGGTCAGTGACAGCAGTAGCAAGGAGACGCGTGACAGTGGGACTGGCAGCACGAAGAGAGTCCGACTCCGGGTCGGCAAGAGCAGGAAGAGAGGAAGAAGGAGGAGAAGGCAAAGGGGCACGCAGAGGAGCAGTAAACGGACGCAGAGACATCCGGTGCGTGCCAGGGACAGGAGGAGGACGCTGACGCGAACCGCGACCACTAGTGCGTGCAGGACGGACAGGCGACGCAGGACGAGACGCAGGCTCACGTCGCTCAGTAAGACCTCCAGTCGGACCAGCGTAGGGAGAAGGAGCAGGCAAAGGAGAGGCAGGCTGTAGCTGTGACTGGGACTGGACAGGCTGTGGACCCTCTAAGGGAGGAGGAGGAGGACCAGGAGAAGGTGTAAGACCAAGAACATGCTGCAGGAGCGGAACGAAGTACGGCCGGGGCCGCGTGGCGACGCCAGAAACAGCAGGGATAGCACAAGTACCCCCAGAAGGAGCACCCGCTCCAGCAGCACCTCCAGCAGCACCTCCAGCAGCACCTCCAGTAGCTCTAGAACCCCCAGCAGCACCAGGAGCACTGCCAGTAGGACCGTCAGCAGTAGTCTCAGCGCCAACACCCTCAGCAGCTCTGGCTCCAAGAGAACCCTCAGGCCCAGCAGCTCCAGCACCCACAGCACGAGCACCTCCGGGACGCGTGACAGCAGCACCCTCTGCAGTCGAAGAACCTCCAGCACCAGCAGCACTCCTCCAGCGTCGGGCAAACCACTCACGCAGCTCCTGTGGGGAGAGTGGCTCTCGGCGAGACGAAGCACCTCCAGGCGGAGAACCTCCAGGCGAAGAACCTCCAGGCTCAGCACCCTCAGGCAAAGCACCTCCAGGCGGAGCACCCCCAGTCTCAGCACCCCCAGGCTCAGCACCCCCAGGCCCAGCACCCCCAGGCTCAGCTCCCCCAGACTCAGTACCCCCAGGCTCAGCACCCCCAGGCTCAGCACCCCCAGGCTCAGCACCTCTAGACTCCGCACCCCCAGGCTCAGCACCCCCAGGCGTAGCACCTCCAGTCCCAGCACCACCAGGCTCAGCTCCCGCAGCAGCACCAGAGTCACCAGTGACCTCGACAGGCTCGACCGCGTCTACCTGGGACACACCTGAAGGGGCAGGACCCTGAGGGGGGAGGGGGTCTGCAAGGGGGGGACCTGGTACCAAGAAGAGCGGGGGCGGGGGGAGGGACGGAGTGCGGTAGGGGAAGAGGCGGTAGTAGGGTACCGACTCGTCGAACGTGACGTCCTGGGAGGACAGAACACGTCGAGAGGTGGGGTGGTAGAACTGCCACCCAGGGGCGTCGGGGGGGAACCCCAGGAAGACGCAGGGAGCAGCGCGAGGGGACAGCTTGTCCGCAGACAAGTCGCGGATAAACGCCCGAGATCCCCAGACCTGGAACGCCGACGCATCGCCAACCGTCCCCGTCCACAGCAGGGCTGGGGAGGTCTCCGGCCTGGAGACCCTGGGGTGGAGGTTGATCTGATGCGCCGCGTACCTGACCGCAAACGGCCACAGAAAATGGGGGGCAGCTGCATGCATCATAGACGTACGAGCGACGTCCATGACCATGCCAATGCGGCGCTCTGCAATCCCATTTTGCTGCGGCGAGTCCGGAAGCGTGAAGGTCTGGCGGATGCCTCGCGCACGACAGAAGGCACGGAGAAGGCCAGAGGAGAACTCTCCGCCTCTGTCCGAGTGCAGACGCAACACAGGAAAGTCCGAGCCAAAGCTCTGCCTGAGCTGGAGACGAGCTGCGCGGATCCAGTCGATCAGCACCTCTGTGACATCACCCTTGCTGCGCAAGGGGAAGACTGTGGTGTAACGCGAGTAGTCGTCAACCACCAACAGGAAGTAGCGCTCGTGACCGAGTCCACGGACGCGGGCAGGGCCCCACACGTCCATGTGAAGCGGCTGCAACGGAGCCTCTGTCGGAGGAAACTGGGAGGAGTGAGGGGCAGCGCGCTGGCGCCCCTCAACACAGGGGACACAGGCAGGGCCAGGGCCCTGAGGAAGGGGAGGGAGGGACCGGGGGAGACCAGACACAAGAAGACGGGAGGCCATGCCTCTGAGCCGAAGCAGAGAGGGGTGGCCAAGGCGGTGGTGCCAGAGGAGAGTCTCGTGAGACAGACGGCGACACGAACAGGGGGCAGACTCAGGACCAGACCTGGACGCTGCAGCAAACACCTGACCAGACGAAGGGACTCTACCAGACTCAGCACCGGGAGGAGAAGCAGTGGTCAGTGTGTACAGGCTCGACCCTGGCTGACGTGTAAACGTAGCCAGGTGGCGACCTGTGCTAGCCTCTATGCAGTGTTTCACCCGCTGACGAGCAGGAGTGAGCTGGTGGACACCCACATCCTGTAGGTCAGCACCACTCACCATGTTCGTAGAGAACGAGGGGAGGTAGAGACCAGTCAGGGCGCCAGAGGGAGCCGCCGGACACGGGAGGACTGTGGAGAAACGAGACAGGACAGGACCCCCAGAGGGGTCAGCCAGGGACACCGCAACCGGCCGACTAAGCAACGTGAGAGTGGTGCGGTCCCGAAAGAAGGAGCGAGACGCCCCAGAGTCAAGGGTGAAGGTGTGAGAGGCCGAAGCCGACACAGTACCTGAGAGTGCAGACTCACTAGTACCTGAGAGCACAGACGCACTGGCACCTAGAGCAGCAGCCTCACTGGCACCTGATGCAGCAGTACCAATGCCCGGGTCGGGCGGGAAACACCGGTAACAGTCACCCTCATCACTAACAGTCACAGCATACATGGCAGCAAGGATAGCATCAAAGTCAAGATCAAAGATAGCTACACCAGCCCTAGACAGCTCTCCCCAGCGGGGGATCTCAGAGGCCTCCGGAAACTGCTGGCGCCAAGCGTCGGTCAAGCGGGCAAAGCAGCGGCGGGCGGTGTGGGTGCCCCCACACTGCTCACCCACGCGGTCGCCGGTGCGAAGGACGTAGGTGCAGGGACCGAACGCCCCACCACGCTGACGCTGCGAGTACCACTCACGGAGCTGCTGAGGGGTGGGGACGTCGCGAGAGCGCTGCTGCTGCTGCTGGTGCTGCTGCTGCTGCTGGCGCTGACCACCCCCAGTGCTGCTCCGCTGGGACGAGCCACTCCGACCACCTCCACCACCGCCACCACCGCCACCGCCGCCACCGCCGCCACCGCCACCCTCGCCCCCGCCGCTCCCACCGCCACCTCCGCCACCACCTCCGCCGCCGCCTCCGCCTCCACTGCCGCCACCAGTACCTCCACTCCCGCCACCACCTCCACCGCCACCCCCACTCCCTCCGCCGCCCCCACCGCCTCCGCCACCGCCCCCGCTAGCTCCACCCGCTCCCTTGTTCCCCTTGCCCCTGCTAGAGCGGCGCCTACCGCTGGGGGCAGACGCCGCACCGACCGACTCCAAACCAGCGAGGTCGGCCGCGGCAGCAGAGGCGACAGAGGGTAACAGGGGGGAGGGAGAACACCCCTCAAAGATGGGGGTGCGAGGGTCACCACGAGAGGCCCCTACAGCGACTATACTCTTCTCAGCCGCTAGCAGGGACTTCTCAAGGAGGTCGACAGTGAGTGTGGTGGGACAGACAGAGAGAAACTGGTCCCTAACGGCACGAAGGGACTCAGGGAGACGGGTGACTAGAAAGCAGAGAGTGATGTACATGGGAGGAGGGTTTGCGGCGCGGAAGTCAGCAGGAAGCGCAGCGCGGTAGCGAGTGTCACTAGCGCGGAGGTGGGTAAAGAGGTCAGCGACTGTGGGAAAGGCAGCAAGGTCAGGGAAGAGGTACGGTAGCATGAGGCGGCTCAGCGTAGCGGAGGAAGGGGAGGAGTAGCGCGCAACTACAGCGTCGTACAAGGCCTGAGCGGTCTTGCACTGGCTAAAGTGCGCACGCTCGGAGGAAGGGAGGTGGCGACGCACAGCAAGACGTGCAGCAGCATCGCGTGTGGCCCACTTGAAGCGAACAGTGGGGTCAGCATCAGCAGGAGGGGCAGGGACAGCGCCAGAGACAAAGTCAAAGAGAGAAACCTCATCTATCGCATTGCACAGTAAGTACAGCTGCAGGTCCTCGACCCAGACTGCAAAGTCAATGGCGCGACCCTCAGCATCAAAAGCCAGGACACTGGGGGTGGCCATTATAGCAGCTGACAGTCTCATCGAGCAGGAAGAGTCGGGTAGCTCAGTAGTACAGCAACACGGTAGCACAGCGGCTGTGCCGGTCTAGGAGCAGCAACAGCCCCACAGGAGCGGGAGCTCGGCACCTCAGGTTGCTCGGGCGGCTCGGGCGGCTCGGGCGACTCGGGCGGCTCGGGCGGTTCGGGCGGCTCGGGCGGCTCGGGCGGCTCGGGCGGCTCGGGCGGTTCGGGCGGCTCGGGCGGCTCGGGCGGCTCAGGCGGCTCGGGCGGCGCGGGCGTCTCGCGGGCGGCGCACGGGTGACTGCACGAGCGGCCGGGGCGGGTCACGGGCGGCGCGCGGGCGGCTCACGGGCGGCTGGGGCGGCTCACGGGCGGCTGCACGGGCGGTTGGGGCGGCTTGCGGGCTGCTCGCGGGCGGCTCGCGGGCTGTGCACGGGCGGCGCGGGCGGCGCACGGGCGGGTGGGTGGCTCGCGGACGGGCGGCGCACGGGCGGGCGGCTCATGGACGGGCGGCGCACGGGCGGTGCCAGCGGCTCACGGGCGGGCTGGTGGCGCACGGGCGGGCGGCTCACGGGCGGCGCCGGCTCACGGTCGGGCGGCGCGCGGGTGGGCGGCTCACGGGCGGCGGCTCACGGGCGGCGGCGCACGGGCGGCGTCTGACGGGCGGCTGCTCACGGGCGGCGGCTGACGGGCGGCGCTCACGGGCGGCGGCTCACGGGCAGGCCGCGGGCGGCTCACGGGCGCTAGGGCAGGCGCCGGGCGCTAGGGCGCTAGGGCTGGCGCTAGGGCGGGCGCTAGGGCGGGCGCTAGGGCGGGCGCTAGGGCGGGCGCTAGGGCGCCAGGGCGCTAGGGCAGAAAAAAAAAAGTTTTCCGAAGTGGTGGGCCCTAAGCAAAGTTCCCACAGGGGAACCTGCTCGATACCATGAGAAAAAGTGAACGAGAGAATGAGTGAACTATGAACGAAGTGAGTACAAATAGGAAACCCTAGTTGGGTTGTACCCCCTATGGGATACCCCACTATAGCCTACACAAATAAGTAAGCTATAATATTCTGACAATGACAAGCAGGACGGTGCAAAAAAACCCGGGTAATTCGCATTTTTCTACACCTGTGCGTATCGTTTCGCGTTTCCGAGAAAAAATGGCTCTAAACTCCCAGGAGGGGCCCACTTCAAAGGGGGTCGGTCGCACGTTTGTGTGCCTTTGGAGCTGAAAACATGGTGCATGGGGGTATGACAAGCGGGACGGTGTGAAAAAACTCCGGGTGATTCGCATTTTTTCTACACCTGTGCGGATCGTTTCGCGTTTCCGAGAGAAAATGGCACTTAACGCCCCGGAGGGGCCCGCTTCAAAGGGGGTCGGTCGCAGGTTTGTGTGCCTTTGGAGTTGAAAACCATCTTGAATGATGCGTGGGGGTATGACAAGCGGGACATTGTAAAAAAACCCCGGATGATTCGCATTTTTCTACACTTGTGCGGATCGTTTCACGTTTCCGAGAGAAAATGGCACTAAATGCCCCGGAGGGGCCCGCTTCAAAGGGGGTCGGTCGCACGTTTGTGTGCCTTTGGAGCTGAAAACCATCCTGAATGGTGCGTGGGGGTATGACAAGTGGGACCGTGCGAAAAAACCCCAGGTGATTTGTCAGAATGATGTAATTGTCTAGCCTGCAGTGGGGTACTCCATAGGGAGTACAACCTAATTAGGGTTTCCTATATGTATCTCAACTGCTGCTAGTGCAAACCACTCTTTCTGCTACTAAACTTTTTGCTGACATGCTATTAGAGCCTGTCCTTCCTTGGCCTGTGGGCCCACCAACTGCTTCCGCTGCTACTCGATGTGTCGCACGTCCCGTGGCGTGCGACGTATTTTTCATCCCGCCCCCGAGGCGCGCGGCCCCTTTTCTTCCTCGCGCGCCGGCCCCGCTGGACCTGCGTGCCCACCCCGTCGACCCTCGCATCGCCTCACGGGACCCGCGCGCCACCCCAGTCGACCCTCGGGTCGCCCCCGGGGACCCGCGCGCCACCCATGGAGCCGTACGCGACCCCCCGCTGCCTCGTCGCGGTGCCATGGGGAGCCGCGCGTTGCCCCTCGCTGCCCCGTGGTGGCGCCCTGGGGGCCGCGCGCCACTCCTGGAGCTGTGCGCGACCCCCCTTGCTGCCCCGTGGTGGCGCCCTGGGGGCCGCGCGCAGTCCCCCTTGCCGTCCCCCGCGCTCCTGCCCCGTGCCACCCGTTTTAGGGTTTGGGGGTGGGGAGTGTGGGGGTGGCGGTTGTGGGGGTGCCGGTTGTGTGCGCCGTCCCCTACTCCTCCTCCGTCTTCCGCTGCTGCAGCTGCCGCTCAGGGGGGTGGGTGTGTGGGAGCCGAAGGAGTGGTGCTAGGGGGGTGACAAGGGAGTGGAGCTAGGGGTGCAGCAGGGGGTGTGTGCTAGGGGCGTGGGGTAGTTGGCGGAGGTTGAGCGGAGGTCACAGTCGTATCGCCAGCAGCACCAGTAGTCCGGAGGCTACAATCTCTGGTAGTCGCCAGTCGCCTGTGGGTCAGTTGCTCCAGTCAGGAGGCTACAATCTCCGCCGAGCCAGTTACTCCTGTTGTCCGGGCCATTGCTTCGGTAGCCACTGAGCCAGGAGCTCCTGTGTGTTTGCAGCTTCCGCCGTCGCCTCCCATCTCCTCTCCTCTCACAGTCCCTCCTCCTCCTCACATGCCCTCTGTGACTACCTCTAGCTTTACTTGGGCTTGTGAACTATTCTATGACTGCTTGTTGTATTGGTTACACCCCACTTTGGCTATGGGGGTGTGTAAGAATGATGTAATTGTCTAGCCTGCAGTGGGGTACTCTATAGCGAGTACAACCCAATTAGGGTTTCCTATATGTATCTCAACTGCTACTAGTGCAAACCACTCTTTCTGCTGCTAAACTTCTTGCTTAACTTTTGACACCACGCGTCCCACGTGCGATACTGGGGCACCTCCACGAAATACAACGGCGCCCAGGGTCCAGTTTGTCCTTCCCGTGTCGGTAGAGTCGCGTAGTCCACTGGCTTCGTGACGATGACGCGCCACCAGTCTGTGAGAGTACGACGGCTTATGCCAGCTATGCTTGCTTGCCTTTACTTTATCATGCTATTTCTAGCATAGGATTATTATATGCATGCATGAATTGCTTGATTTCCTAGGCTAGGTGCTTTCCTATATTTTATTATAGTTATAGCACCGAGCTAGGTTGCGTGCACCGAATTCTGGCTTTTCGGTTGCCACCAAATTGCCTTCTACCGAATTCGGTAAGGATCTGTTCGGGACGCTTCGCGACCCGCGGAACCTTCGCGTAACACCTGGTTACGGGGCCTTGTGTGGAGCCTATATATACCCTCGTGTTGTACCCAGGTGATCATTCGATTCGATTCAATTCACATTCTCTTTTCTGAGCTCGATTCTAGATCCTCACACAGTCCATGGCGGGTCCTCGCAGCAACGACACGGCCTAGCGAATCTTCCCCGTATCCTCCGAGACGTAGTTCACGTCGAAGAAAACGTTCAACGTCAAGAGCCACGCCTGAACGGTAGGACCACCCCGCTGACTTGGGTCAAAGCATGGCGGACGCTGCGGCTTTAGCGGCATCGGCGATGGAAGAGTTGATTCGCCGGCCGGCACTGAAATCGTGACTCAAGGCTGAGTCCTGGCCGCATTCGTCGCGTCGGGGTGTGTCGTGCCGTGGTCGTCGTCTCCGTCATGGCGGACGACGCCATCACTTGCGGCGCTCGCGGGTTGCCCCACACTTCCGTGCTGTGATGTCTGTGGTGCGGGCTGAATCGGAGTGCCAGGTGCTTGGGATTGTGCTCGTGTGAGGTCGTTTTGCAGGGACGAGCGTTCTGCCGTCAGCGTCGCAATTTCCTCGGTGCTCTCGCGGATTTGTCGCAGCAGATCGTTCAAGTGCTCTTGCGTGAGAGTCGTGACGTCGATATGTTCAGCCATTTCGAAGGGCGTCGGCTCGTCTTAGTCTAGGCGCAGTCGTGGCTGCACGCGTTTACGAGAGAACGCGAGGACAGCGGCTCCTAGGTGCTAAGGTACGTGAGTCCCTTCGAGTGAAAAATCAAAAGTTGATTTCCTGGGGTGCGGAGATGCGCGGTCCGAAAGGAAAGAGGCTCTGAATACCAAGTGTTACGGGTGCAATGAATTGAAGTAGTGAGAATTGCACTAAGGTGTCAAACGAGTACAAAACGTGAGCGAACATTTATACGCGAAACATGCAAACGGTAACGCGGTGCGTGCGAGCTAGCTAATGCTATGCTGGAAGCGAGGCTCGGGCTAGTCCCAAAGCGTAGGCCGATACGGCCAGGCCAGCAGTGCGAGGTTTGGTGAAACAGTGCGCGCGAAGTCGGCGAAGCCCCGTTAGTAGTAACGGGCGAACAACGGCTGCTGTTGTACGCGATGTTGCAGGGTGCGCTAAGGAATATCGAGAAAATTCCTTACACATAGCTAAGACTAGTAGTCTAGGGTTTAGCCTAGGCAAGGGAGAGTTGTCCAAGCAAAGGAGGGGTTGTACTATAGAATGAGAAGTACAAATAGAGGAGAAGCATGCAAGGAGTGGTGCACTACCACAGAGAACACCTATGTGACTACACTACTGCTAGAACTACATGCACTTATACAAAATATATATATAATACATTCTAACACACCCCCTAAGTGCATGTAGGAATAGCCATGTGCAGAACACCCCCTAGAGTGGTACACCCTGCAGGGCGCAGCAGAAGAAGAGGGCAGGTGAGGAGGAGGAGAAGGGACTGTGAGAGGAGTGGAGATAGGAGGCGACGAGTGAAGCCGCAGACACACGGGCAACAGGAGCGGCGCACACTGTGGCTACCGGAGCAAGGGCCCCGAACTACAGGAGTAACTGGCTTCGCG